GGCAAAGTAAGACAGAGAGGACTAAACAAAGGTAAAGGAGGATCGAAACCTGTGTGAACAATACCTGAAAATGATGGCACGGTGGAAAAATTTAAGCCTGGTTTAACTGTGTGAAAATTAATAAAGGGAAACCTCACTGACATGGTGTTCGGCGGCCAGCACGAGGAGCTCTCACACTCACCACTCACTCCTAACTAAATCTCAGACCTCACTGGAAGAGAGGGACACCACACTGTTTTGGCTACTTTACTTCCCAGCAGGAAGAAGAAAGGTTTCCACTTACCCCTGCAACAGCCAATGTTACAACTTAGCCAATAAGAAGCCACAGTACATGGAACTCCCAGTTTTTTCCAATGGACTTTTTGTTTAGAACAGCCCTTCCAACTTGGCCCTTTCCTCTATAAAAGAGTGTTCTCCTTTATTCTCCAGACTTGCCTATGGTTTTGCTGTAGCTTGCTGGTACTGGTTTGCAATTCTCTGGTGTTTTTGAATTAACCTGTTTTTGCTGGTAAAATAACTTTTATTTTTAAAATTAACAACTGGCAGCCTCAAATTACTGGCCATGTTAAAAGAACCAAAATGTGCATAACAAGGGAATCACTCATGATTTGAGGAAGTAATAAAGACCGTAAGTTATTTTTTTATTCATGAGGTATTAGGTAAACAATGAGCCCCCAACCTTGACCAGGGCCCTGGAGCTGCTTCTGTTCTAGCACCTTTGATTCTTGTTTGACTTCTCAAAAGTATAAATCTTTTCAAAATGGTTGCCTCAGCTATAAAAAAAAAAAAAGGAGTAGAGGAGGAAATAAGTTTATAAATAGTTGTACCTGTTTGAATACTTTCGGCTGCAAATATACATATTCTGTTTCAAAATGGCTTGAACTATAAGAAAATGTACTATTTCATGTAATAAGTCTAGTTTCAGGAAGAGGCTGTTAGGGTTCTGGCTTTTTCCTCTGGTTTTCCAGACTCCACCACCCCCTGGATGCTGGCTTCACCTTAGGCAGACACGAGTCACAGCTGTTCTGGTCACCATATTCGTACACAATCATGTACAAAACAAAGGGCCACCTTTCTTCTTACAAATTTTCCTTATAAGAAAATCATTCCCCAGAAGTCTCTCTGTAGTTCAACCCCTGAAATTACTTAGGGATTACAATGTTCAATGTGTAACTAAGTCACCAGAAAAGATGGTTGTCATTCTCTAAATATATGTTTCTAAATGTATGTGTTGAATTGAATGTAAATGAACCTCATATTAGAGTAAACTGAGGATTTCTGCTGCCAACACCAAACTGAAGATTCACTAGTACTTCTGTATCCAAAAAAAGGTAACAAAGCAAATACAAAAGCAAAATTATGAAGCAAAACACAACATATGGCATGGGGGAAAATTTCCCCAGTATAGTGCCATTACACAAGCACTTAGCCAACAGGAATAGCATGAGTGCAAGAACAGACAACTGCAACTGACAATTCTTGGGAATCAGTAAAGACACCACTATCAGAACTTACCAGCCCACATAACTCTTCCCTCTAAATAACATTATATCAAAGAAAAGCCTATTCATTTTGAATCTAATAGAAACTTGAATATGTTCACTTTAGAAGAAAACATCTCAATTACATTCAGGGTTCCTGAGGCTAATCTAAATCCATCTACTTACATAAGCACAGATCAAGCTCTAGTTGTTTTTGTTTTTGTTATTTTCCTTAAATTGATCTGTAAATACTATCCAAACCCATCAGGTGATGACTTTCTTGTCAAGCTGGCTTGACTACAGTGCCCAGTTACTTAATGAAACACTAATCTAGATGTTGCTATAAAGGTATTTTGCAGATATAATTGAAGCCTCCAATCCATTTAAGTAAAAGATATTATCCCACATAATCAGAGTGGGCATAAGGGAATACTTTGGAAGGCTCTGATATCAGGGTTGAGGTTTCCCAGGAGAGAGAAGGTTCAACGCAGAATGGTGGCCCATGAGTGAAGGAGTTCTATCCTACTGGTGATTTTCTATTCTTAACAGCCTACCATACAGACTTCTGACTTGCTTAGCCAGTCCCCAAGACAACTGCTTATAATAAATCACACACACACACACACACACACACACACACATACAATACTGGCTCTGCCTCTCTAACTGAACTCCTACTCATACACACCACAGTATGTGTATGAATTTCGAAGCAGTACTTCTTAGATTTAATTGGGAAAACATTTTAAATTTGAAGATGTATGGGTGGGCTTACATAATTCTCTTTTCAAACGGCAGTAGGTCAGGACAGTGGTGCACTACATCATCTTCCAACATGAACTACTACTGTTGTGTAAAAACAATTTAAGGGGCAACTTACAAAGAGTAAGTCTGGGAATTCTTCATGATTTAATCTAAACCTTTAATACAGAAGATCCTTTTGTACTAAAGATGAAACTTTAAAAGAAGCACTAAGAAATTTGCAAAGAATAAGAATTATCTCTAATTCAATTACTACAGCAGTCTGCTTTCATTTTTTTGCATTGAGAAGAAGTTGCTGAGTACCCTTTAGAAGTGGATTCTACATACTGGGTTACAGTGTGGCACTACAGCTACATTAGTGAAAATGCTACTCCTTAACAGGCATTCTTAAGAACAGTTACATACAAGATGGGAGAGGAACAGACTAAGGTTATTAATTATAACCAACAATATCAGAATCTTACCAGAGAGGACACACACTTTATCCACAACCATTGTACTAAGAGGTACAGTTCAATTTGACATATATTGGCTGTTCTTTAATTCTGATCGAGCAAAATTCCCAGCGAGCTCTAGGAGTAGCAAGAGGAGCAGCAGCGATTCAGTCTAGGACAGAACTACAGCCTCAACATGACACTCACATTCTCAGGAAGTCCCAAACAAACCCCCCTGATGGTGCGGGGACAGAGACCTGGCGCAGAAGGTGCAAATTGTGGGAGACTGGCTTTCTGAGAAACAGCATGGCCAATATGGGACACACATAAACACACAGAGACCAAAAACCCCAATGGAATGGGACCATGATAAAACAAGTCAAAAGAAAGATGAAGAAGCTCAAATGATAAATTAGGGGAGACAGACACCCACACAGTGGAATGGCAACACAAGAAGCAAAATGTTAGTAAGAAACACAGCAGCCACACACATGCACCTCAGTTCTGAACATGGGAACAAAGATGTCACACAACCCCAAATGTCTTTGGTTCTTCATTCACATCTTAATCTATGTTGCTGAATAACAAATTACAAAGTCTGAGTTTTAAAAACTGTTTCTTTCTTCTATAGCCAAGAAATTTTGTGTCAAATCCTAAAACAAAGTTATAATACCCTCATCAGAGGATAAAATTGTATAAGTGCTTCTTAAACCTTGTATGTGTGACAGGAGTAGATCATTTACAATGTTTCTCAAAATGTGAGAAATATAAAAGCTATTTGGTGTACTTTGGTTATCAGATACAGATTTACTCCCATTTCTTATACTCTCAAATCAAGTCCATCTCCCCAAATCAGTATTACATCCAAAAATTAAGGCATTTTTCAAGCTAGCTGCCTGGAACAAGCAACAGTTTCAATGTAGATTTCTAATACAAGAAATTAAACCAAAAAGTGAAATATTATCAAGGAATTTCTTTTCTGAATTATTGAAATATATTTAGTGGGAAATGGCTAATCCATGTGTTTTAAAACCTCTTTGGTACTGCTGCAGACTTCAGGCCCACACAAAAGCAGAGAGGCATGTATTCACACAAGTATGTGAAGGCAGGGGTGTGTGTTTGTGTGTGTTGGAGCCAGTGCATGGTAATTTGTTAATTCTGACTTAAAGAATTTCATCCATTATTCTTATCCAAAACCAGAAAATATGAATAGAGTTAATATCAAAATAAGAGGAAACAAGTGAGTAGGTAACCCACACCTGTCATTCATCTTTCAGTATGGCAAAAGAGAAATGGGAGGGCTGAACTCTATATAAGTTTTAGTTTCTTAAAAATTAAAATTCTATGGATAGAGAATAGAAAAAAAAGTAACTTCTAGGGGAAATTATCAGGTCTACCAGTAACCCAAAAATTTAAAACTTAATGAACAATTTATGAAAATAGTCTTAATATGTCCTGTCAAGAGCATGCAAATAAAATATTCCTAAGAATCAGTCTCCAAGGAACCACAAATTAATTACTTCATTCTGCCCTGTCAGTCTCTCTGGCTGTTCAGAGAAAAATGGGTGATTAAAGAAGTTCTACTGGAAGAACTGTTTCTATGCACTTGTTCAATTTATGTTAAATACCTGAGGTTATATGCTTCATCTTTAGTACAAAACATCCTAATAGGGAAAAAAAAAAAAAGAAAAGAAAAGGAAAATTCCAAGAGAACTGTTTGGCTGTATCTGTTGAAAGGTTATTTTAAAGAACTCAAAGACAGCACTTGAATAAAAATCATAACCAAATCTCTTAAATTGAACTCAAAATGTCCCTCCTTCTAAATTTGATGTATGCACTGATGTTAACACTGCTTCCTATAATACAAACTGTATGAAGTCTAAATCTTTATAGCCCAAAGGAGCATCCACAAAAAAGGTCTAAACCAATGGAAAAATATTAACTCCCTGAACCTGAGGTTCATGTGCTTCTTAGATAAATTAAAAAGCTAAGTAGGTATTTGTACTCTCTTGAACATCCAGTAGGAAACTTTAAATACTTAATGAATACTTTCTATCTTTCCAGTCACTGAGGTTGAAGTCCACAGCTTCACAATTTATTCCCATTCTATGCTTCCTTTAGCGACTGTAACGTTGAATTAATGAATAAATGAATTTATGCTGACTTAGAATAAAAAGACAGTAAAGTAACATCAAGTACTCAAGAACCTAAATTCATACAGGCACGTAAATGTTAAAGAAGTATGCCCCAAAGTACACAGTTTTAAAATGGTACTTCAACCATTCTAACATAGTAATCCCCCATTCAGCTTCCATTTCCTTACCTTTCCAACTCAGCAATCTTCTTATCTTTATCATTCTTCTCATTTTCTACCTCTTTCAAGATTTCCAAAAGGCGGTCAACTTCTGCCTGAGCCTTGCTAGATTCATCTTTGTACCTGGCAATCTCCCTCTCCAACTGCTGTATTCGGTCATTCATCTCTGGACTGGCTCTGGCTTCCAAAGTTGCCTCATGTGCCTACAAAGAAAAGTGTTCAAAATCTTTCAGCTACAGGTACAGTGGCAGTGGACAAACCATGTCTCAAAGAACAATCCATAGTCCAATTTAAATAGAGTATTATCCAATATCTAATAGCTAAACCCTATCTATAAGGTTTCCCCTGCTTAAGTATTACAAAGACAAAATATTAATAAATGGAGAAATAATTAACTTAGATTTTGAATGGATTCATTTTTAAAAATGGTATATCTCTGAATATTTATTTCTAGGCCAAAAACAATCATAAGCCAAGAGATGCTTCAGAGTCTAGAGAGGTGTCCTAACAAGCCACTAGGCTACTTATTGATCTACCCAAGACATGTCAATATTATGGACATCATCAGCAGAGATTATCAGTAATTATCAGCAGAGGTTCACTGATAATCTTACCACAGCCAGTGCCAATGCTGAGATCTAATTCTCTACATGACCTCCATTTCATTTCCCTTCTAACAATGCTTTACAAAGCACGTACAAATCACATGGTCTTGAGCATCTAGAGTTACATAGATACTATAGCCAATGTGATGCCATGAAAAATGGAGTTAGGTTAAGAAAATGGCTACCGCCACATAGGTACCTTTCTAATGCAGACTCTAGATTTTACAGGATACTACGGAACAAAGTCAACATCAAAAATCACATTTAGAACTGAGAAAAAATTCTTTATTCAGGATCCTAGTACACATGGCAACTAGTACCTTCATGAATTTTCGAATACAGAATAGTTTCAATAATAAAAAAATGAATCTGCAAGTCTTTAATTTTCCTCCTGACTCTATAAATCCATGCATGTATAAATGTATTTAATGAGAAAATAAAGGTTAAGATATTTTAGTTTACCTTATTCAACAGACAATAAAATATACTTAAAATACCCTTAAAACTTTGAAAAAATAATTAAGGCAGCAAATATTTATCTTAGAAAGCACTTCAGAAAACTGATGCAAAATAGTAAAAGAGAAATATTTCTGTAAATTGGGCTAAATGCTTTGTCAAACCAACAGCTATATTTTTAAGATTAAGTCCTTTACTAATATCTTTTGTTTCATTTTTTAATCAGTTATGAAGATCCACAATCACTAACAATAGCCTTTAAGGGAGATTCCACTGGCAGACATATATTTTAGTGTTAGCAAAATTCTACCCTAAACTGGGGTGGAAAAAAGCCACAGCAAGCTAAAAGCTAAGGGAAAGAGAGGTAGCCCTGAATGAATTAACTCAATAAGAATAAAACAAAGCGAAAGCAGCAGAAATGCAAACATGGAGGAGAATTCTGGTCTCACAAAAACGTTTCTACTTTGTATGTACCCCAAATACTTTAGAAATGAATCATTTTTTTTTTTAATCTGGAGTTTCCAGTTGAGGAAAGGAGAAATGAGAAGTCAAGTGTATTCAGTTCTCTATAGAGTAGTAAAAGATTGCTCGCCCAAAATGCAGAGAAAACATCAAGCAGGGCTTTATGGCACCACTTTGTCAGGTCGCTTGCTGAGTTGGATGGATGGCTTACAACTATTTCAGGATGCTGAAGAGACTAACACATCAGGGAGAAAAGAAGAAAGAAAAATAGGAGGAAATGGCATAAGAATATAACAAACAAGAGAAAGGAAAGCAAAAAGTGAAAAACAACTTCCAAAAAAAAAATCACAGTCTAGAAATACATTTTTTTCCATAAGGGAAAAAAGAATCTAGCTCTTCTTAAAATTCTGATACCCCAAAAGTTTAATTTCAATCACTTCCTTAATAATTCTGAAGTTTTTATCTTATGCTGAAGACAGAGAATACCAAAATTCAGGTATAGGGTATAAATTCTTAAACTAAACATAGGGAAAAAAATACCAGTTATTTCCTACTCTAAACAAAATGGAGATGAAAATTTCTTTGAAAACTTCAAAGATAAGCTACAGCATTTTATGTAAATATAAATAAAAATACCAATCTTACAGCAATTGTGGTTTTCAACAAGAAAACATGCCAAATATTACTTCATGTAAACCTAAAAATAAGCTGCAAAGCAATAGAATGCTAATATCAAATTAAGAAGACAAAGACAACAAAGTTCTAGGCCTAACAAGCTACTAAGAATTAAAGTTGCAGCAAATAAAACACATATAACAATATTTGCCTTTTTTGAAAAGATATAATTAACATATGACAAATTACCTTCAGGTGAATGTGATTCAATATATGTATATATTGTGAAATGTTCGCTATAATATGTCTAGTTCACATCTATCATCACACACATTTTTTTTCTTATAATGAGAACTTTTAAGATTTAGCCTTTAGCAGCTTTCAAACACACAGTACAGTATTATTACCTATAGTTACTACATGGTACATTACATCCCCACGACTTACTTATTTTAAATGGGAAGATTATACCTTTGAGCCCCTTGACTCATTTCACCCACACACCAACCCTGCTTTGCCACCAATCCGCTCTCTGCTTCTGTGTGTTTAGGTTTTTTGTTTTTGTCATTCTACATATAAATGAGATTATACAGTATTTGTCTTTCTCTGTATGACTTATTTCACTGCTCTGCCTCTAAACTGCAATAATGTTAGGGAAGTAGTTATCTACTAGAATGAGGTAAAGTCAGAAGTATGACAGCCAACATACTGTTCAGATATTGTTCTGAGTCTCACATTTTATTACGTAACTTTACACTGAGAAATACACTCTTGGATTAAAGATGGAGCCAAGAGAGGTGAGACAGAGGCTTCCTCCTAAAACCCCATATAATACAAAAATATAATTAAAACAACTAATTCTGAAAGAGCAACAGGAAAGAGGACTCTGCCAGACTGCATACCCCTAGAGAAATGAGCAGACTTCACCGAACGGGGTAATGTACCAGAGCTGTGACCCAGCAGGACCCAAGTCCTTCCCCCAACCAGCTCACCAGCTGGAGGAAGAGAAACGGAGCAGGAAGGGAGTGGAGGCCTGGGACTGCTGAATACCTAACTCCAAAGATCTGCTCTGGGAGCACAAACCTACATTTCATGGTGTTTTCATGATACTCTCCTGATTAGGGGATTGGAAAGCTAAGACAGGCAGAATTCCTGGAGAGACAGAGATTCCAGCCGCTTGTGGAAAGCAGGGATCTATATCCAGCTGCTCTGGGGCAAAAGAAAGGCAGGCAGTCTGAGAGACTTCCTGACACCAAGAGGGCGGCTAAAGGGGCAAGGACTGCACAGAGCTTAGTGCTCAGGAGAAAGGACAGGTAGACAAAATTATGCAGGTGCACTCTGCCCAGCACGTTGGGAGTTTTCATGATTTCCAGGTGCTATACCTCCCTGGCTGGCTACACAGCTCCAAGGACCTGCTCCATGAAAGACAACCTACTGCGCCTTTCTCCCGGTCAGCCCCACCTGACTCGCAAATCGGCAAACCCAACCATGTCGATAGGCCAGCCAGAGGGAAGATCTGTCTGCAGCAACTACAAACACAAACCACAGAGGCTTATACCTGTGTGCTCGGCCCACTGATTCAGGCAGAGGTGACAAGTATACCAGCCGGGAAGCAGGACACAGCTCTTTCCTCCCACCAGGCACCAACACCACTCCCATGCAACCCCTGTCATTGCTTCAAGGGCTGAGCAGCTCCAGAAACTAGAGCTTCTGGAAACTAAACGGTGCCATATAGAAATATGAAACGACAAAGGAACATGGTTCAGAGTAAAATTAATATAACTCCAGAGAAAGATAACGTGGACCTCATGACTCTTCCTGAAAGGGAGTTCAAAATTAAAATCATTAACATGATAATGGAGGTACAGAAAGACATTCAAGGACTCAGGAATGAATTCCGGTTGGAGATCCAATTTTGAAGAGTACAATGCAGAGTATTAAAAGCGGACTGCATACAGTGGAAGAGACGATAAATGAAATAGAAACTAGGGAAGAGGAATACAAAGAAGGTGAGGCACAGAGAGAAAAAATATCTCAAAGAATGAAAGAATATTGAGAGAACTCAATGACCAATCCAAACAGAACAATATTCGCATTATATGGGTACTAGAGGAAGAAGAGAGAGAAAAAGGGACAGAAAGTGTCTGTGAGGAGGCAATTGCTGAAAATTTCCCCAGTCTGGGGAAGGAGATAGTCTCACAACCATGGATCCACAGATCTCCCAACACAAGGGACCCAAGGAAAACAACACAAAGACATACACTAATTAAAATGGAAATAAGATCACATACAAAGGAAGGTCCATCAGGCTAACATCAGACACCTCAGCAGAAATCTTATAGACCAGAAGGGAGTGGCATGATGTATTTAATGAAATCCAGCAGAAGGGCCTGGAACCAAGATTACTTTATCCAGCAAGATTATCGTTTAAATTTGAAGGAGGGATTAAACAATTCCCAGATAAGCAAAAGCTGAGAGAATTTACCTCCCACAAACCATCTCTACAGTCTGTTTCAGAGGGACTGCTATAGGTGGAAGTGTTCCTAAGGTTTAATAGCTGTCACCAGAGGTAATAAAACCACAGTAAAGAAAGTAGAACAGCTAATTACTAAGCAAATGCAAAATTAAACTAACTATCCCCAAAGTCAATCAACACATAGACAAAAAATACAGAATATGATACCTAATATATAAAGAATGGAGGAGGAAGAAAAGGAGAACAAAAAGAAAAGAACCTTTAGATGGTGTCTGCAATAAGATATTAAGTGAGTTAAGTAAGACTCTTAGATAGTAAGGAAGTTAACCTTGAACCTTTGGTAACCACAAATCTAAAGCCTGCAATGGCAATAAGTACATACCTATTGATAATCCAGCAGAAGGGCCTGGAACCATGTAAATGGACTGAATGCACAAATCAAAAGACATAGAGTCACCGAATGTATAAAAAAACAAGAACCATCTATATGCTGCCTAAAAGAGACTCACTTTAAACCCAAAGACATACACAGACTAAAAGTGAAGGGATGCAAAAACATATTTCATGCAACTAACAGAGAGAAAAAAGC